AAGCGAACTTCATGTTTTATGTAATTCTGCTCCATCCCAATACTTTGTGAACCCTCCATTTTCCTTTATTACTTCTATACATCTTTCGTGCATGTTAACCACACTTAACGAAAGCTTCTTCCGAGCAATGCATCTGTTGTAACCTCTTTTTTTCAGTGCGATAGAAATTAAACGTTCACCGCATCCCCAGTGGCTGGAGGGCTCCATGGCTAGTTCCAAATAGCACATCTGTCTATTTTCAGGATATTCCCGGACGAAAGCCCCGAGCTCATCAACTTGTTCCGCGCTTAATTTAGATAAGCATCTTTTGCGAGGCTTAGGATTCTCTGTCTCTCGAGCACACGTAAGTTGCATTTACCTTCTTGTGAAGCTAAGTTCATCGAATATATGTTGTAGTGTCAAGCCAAGTCTTCTTTATGTTCTTATTTCAATACATTGATCGCGAGTTAGATGCGTGCAAACTTTAGTTTCTGAAGCAGACTTTTTGAGAGACATTGTGTTAGACTCAACGAGTCAATTGAAAAGTGTATGAAAAGTAAAAAGTGTCAATTATTTCCTGGCTGCCATTTCTCTTACTGATACTATCTAGATTATGTACGTCTAGAAACTGGCAAATGCTCTATGTGTCCCCAACTTGTCCACATAGACCAAGTTTCTCATGGTTTGGAACGAAACATCTCTAGTCAGAACAGATAGAGTTCTTATTGCTACAGCCCAAGCGAAACATATTTTTTCGAAACAAGTAACTCCAAGCTTTGTAAACCTAACTCCTTAAACTTTATATCTGACATTAATCGCCTTCAAACTATCCACAGTTTGATACATTGTTTGCTACAAAAGAGGATGAATTGATAGTGATGTTAAGTTTCAAGGACTGTGTAGGTTAGTCAGCCAAAAATGTCGTTGAAAATGTGTTTTTCTAACCGAATGCTAGAAGAAGATGATTGGGCCATACTTCATGGCTAGCGGGGTAAGGAGGAGAGATATACTAACCTATTACAAGCTAGCCCAGCTGCGCCTACATGGCTAATCCCTTTAATATCCCAGTTTCGAGGTTAACATTTTGGAACCTAGAGGCACTGTACATACCCCCAGGCTGATTTTCCGGGACCCGATGATGATCCATCAGAGAAAGCGCAGACCGCGTTAGCTGGACGGGAAGCTAACCATCGCTTTATGCTTCCAGACCGACCTCCCCATATTCTTCCGAACAAAAAGGGGGAAAGAAGCATGGCTTAAGTTTTTAGAGGCTTCAAAGTTTATAAATGCACAGAAAGGAGATTAACTAGGAACATAACAAATTGGAAATACAATTATTTGAGCAAGCAGAAGTAAGTGAGTGTGTTTATTGTCCTAAAAAGTCTGTAACTATGTAAGGACATGTGGGTCCTTTCTGCCTACAGGCAGGGAGTATTTATGCCTCGGGTAGTGTACTCCCTCCTTTGCCTTCCTCACGACTTCTTTCCAGCAGTAATACCCCCACAGGTCTTCATTCGAGTACATACTAAGAGAAGCCGTTATCTCGTCATTTTCTCCCCTCTCCAACCAACACAACGATGGCCATTTGCGGGTGTGTAGCTGCAGGGAAAAGTCTCAAAAACCACAGGGTGCGGGGCTCTCCTATGACGAAGAGGCCGGCCAGCCGGTCACGGCAGACCTGTGTATACCTAAGAACGTCTCTCAACCTTCCTAGCCTCCTCCTTACTCCTCCCCTGATTCATGCAGTAGGACAAACCGAAGGTCGTGAAAGGATGTCAGAATAGCTTTGGTAGAGAGTGACAGTCGTGATGGAGCCTAGCCCAGCATCCAAAAGTCGTTACGGGCGTGGGGTCGTCGAGTAACTCATGTATTTCAGATGCTCTCCTGGCTAGTAGATTCGGAAGATAAGATTAGCAGGGACGATATTATTGACGAGTCGAAATCTGCTTTTCTTGAGGGCGGAAGGGTCTTTTACTTTGCTTTCGTGAGCTTTTTGTTCGCCCGCCGGTGGGTAGCGCATGTTGTGATATAATGAGGGCTTGTCTCACTATCGTTGTAGCGTTTGGTACCGCATTATCTCTCCTCATTCCCAACATCATTATCGTCGTCTTTGTCGTCTTATGTGTTATCGGAAGCGTATCTTTGACGGAGGGGGAGATAACTCAGCTCAAAGTTGATAAGGTGTTACTCAATCTCGGCTCTGCAGACTCTACAGTGAGAGCTGGAGGTTCGTAGGGGACACCACTGACAGGTGTTGAGAATAGTCCCCAAGCAAGCAGGAGTAAGGGAGGGTTAAGAAATTTAAATTTGCCACTGTGTAATTAATAGATAAATTGCCATAGTTTTTTAGCTAAATACAATATGAATTAAAAAAAATACTTCCAGACCTGGCTTCTTTTCCTCGACAACATGTAGTCGATGCCGGGATGCCACGTGGGAAGTATAGCTTTCCAGGGCCTTCGGCTGTCGGAACTCGACGCCTCTCATGATCAGGACAATTGAATTATTTATTTATCTTAGAAATGATGACTAATAATTTTGATGAGTAGTGAGTTACCTGTTCATGAATAGCGTCTCGAGAGAGAAATAATTGTTGTATAAATGTGTTTCCTCCAGTTACCCCAGACATGTATCTCCAATGAAGAAAACAACCCTTGGAAGAGATGAGTAGATGCTGAGGTGAGCCAAAGCTGGGACTGATGAAAGGGAAAAGCTACAGATTGTCAAGGTGTCAAGGGCTCGGGCACGTGGTGGCCGAGGCTGGGGAGGAATGTGCGCTTCGGCGCGCCAAAAGGGGGTTCTCTGGATAGTTGGGCTTGACATGATTCAACACATGGGTGAAGTCTGAGGTGATCCGGTCATTTAAGTGGAACGAGGTAGATGTACTTTATTAATTCATTTTATAGTCCCGTCTGAGTCCATGACTATGTAGGACATACAGGTCCTCTCTGCCTACAGGCCAAGGATACCTATACCAGTAGTATATCCCCTCCTATGCCTCCCACGCAGTTCCCCTCAAACAGTACCACCCCTCACAAGTCCTCATTCGATCATACACTTAGAGGAGCCCTTAACCCTTCATTATCTCCCCTCTCTAGCTAACGAAACGATGGCCATTTGCGGGTGTATGGCAGCCGGGAAAAATCGCAAAAATCACTGGGTGCGGAGCTCTCCTAATAACGACATTAGGACTAAATCCGAAGACATAGTGACCCCTCTGAAGCGTTCGAAGAGGCCGGCCAGCTGGGCGCTGCAGACTTGTGGGTACCTCGGGAAATTCACTCTCCGCCTTTCTAGCCTCCTTCCAACTCCTTCCCGAAGGTCGTGCTGAAATGTCAGAAAAGTCTTGACAGAGCGTGATTGCTGTACGGTAGCTTAGACCAACTTCTTTCGTGCCGTCCAGGGCGCTGGGGAGTGCCGTTGACTCATCGACAAAAGAAGTCCTCCTGGCTAATTAGCCGAAATCTTGGTCTTGGCGCCCACAAAACATCCAAAGTTGAAAACTCCTCGAAAATGTCAGTCCCAGCAAGGTCTTCAGAGACCTGTTCCCCTCCCACTCCACATATCAGCCGCCTGTCCTTCCTCAAGATGTGAAGCCCCATTAGAGCAGCAGTCCCCCATAAACCAAGACCCCAACTTTTTATATTATGACTTAATTTCCTCCTTGCGGGTATACGTAGCGTCGTAAATTTGTAGTGAGTGATGGCCGGTGATGATTGAGGCAAGCTCCTGTTTGCAATTGGGGTAACGCCTTTATCGGTCATCGAGGCGAGATGATGTGTGGCTAGAGAGAGGTTGAGGACTCAGAAGATAATGGTGAGTGCTGCATGATTGAGAAGTTGTCAAATGGAGATGTGTATGAGGTTACTTTCGACTTCGATTCGAATGCGATTCTTCTTGGCTATCCCAGATATGCAGAGCATACTGAGCGATTACACCGGCACCACTGGAAGGTGAAGAATTCGTCTTTGCCGGCGAGGTAGATGTACTCAATGGCAGTTAACCTGATCCAGCCTGGCCCCACCCGTGCTTAAGCTCCAGGAGGAGTGCGCGGTAGTCACTTTACCTAGCACGTTAATGAACAAACCAAACCAAACAGACACGAAATAGGAAATTTGTTAACCACAATCATTATTACTGCTATACAAGGCTAAGGATTCAAATACCACCTGAGTGTTCCGACACAAAGGTTTTGAATTTCCCCTTGGTGGGTACGCACGGAGTAATGTCGACTGTTTGTGTAAGCGAACATACCTCAGTAGTATTTGTAAATGAAATCCAGAGTGTGAGTGCCTCTAACATCAAAAGAGTCATCCAACATGTAAGTATAGCAATGGTAATGCATCTCAACTAGGTAGCTAGGAATACATTAAATGATTAAAAAAAATATGGTTCATGCAAATTTTAACGCCTACAATAAAACTTCGCTTTACTATTTAAAGGGATAATATTTTAATGCCCCATTGATATCCATAGGTAGGAAATCGAATGAATTCTTGTGAAGGGTTGCGCTATTGGAGAAGAGCCTAAAGGAGGCACAAGAAAGATTCTGTTGCCCGCGGCAAAGATATCACTGGCCTGTAGACTGAGAGGACCTATGATCACTATCTGATCATATACCAAGAAATTACACGATAGAAAGGGGTAGAAAACAAGGTGTATTCCGATAGATCCATAACAATAGCTTGCAGAGCTTTGTTACTCTGAAGAACTATCGTGATAATGACTCAGTGCTACAAAAACCACACCAAGAACTAACTTTCATTGTGCACCATTATCGTTGTCGTTTCGTTTAAAGACAGCATTAAAAAGATATCTCTTTCGATTAGATCAACGTACCTCAGCTCCCGAAAGAATTACGCTCTAATCTTAGGTCAATAATTGAATTGGAGTTATCATTAATAGGATCGAAGTTCCCAGTGAAGATTTACTTACCAGCTACAATGATATAAGACATCTAAAAAATCAACAATCAACTCTGATTTCGTATCCTTGGCTTCGCTATGAAGTTTGGCAATTCCTCAGCATGAGCCTACACCGTGACTAAAAACTTTAAGCGCCAGCTGAGTTAACAGCTTAGTTTTATCGGCAGCAGGCAACTCTTGAAAGACTAGAATCAGTATTAGTTGATTTTTTTCGAGGCATAACTTTTCGAAAATCTCTTCTCACCGTCAAATACACTCTTTCCCTTTAAGTCTCTCACGGCGCCCAATCGGTTTCCAGCAACGGCGCCAGCGATGAGACCAGGTACATTAGCGACAATAAAGCCCATTGCTGCACCGCTCATACCCCCCACCACACCCCAGAATCGACTCGATGGACGGCCATTCTGGTCGGCCAACCCCTCTTCTTTAAGCATCTCCTCAAATACATCCCCAAATTGCTCTTTGTGTGATTTCGCTTTATCTTCCTGGGGTCTTGACTTCGAGCTAGAGTTGGACCAAGGAAAACCAAAATATCCATTTTGGCCGTGGTCTACGTTGTCATTGTCTTGGTTAGAAGGTGAAGATGTACTTTCTCTGAACCCATGAGACCGACGCGCAGAGTCATAATCACCGCGTCGCTTTGGGTCGGAGAGGGTGTAATACGCATCATTTACAAGTTGGAACTTATGAGTAAGTTTGGCACGATCCGGTGATCCTATAGGCACACGATCGGGGTGGGTTTTGAGTGCTGCGCTGGAGCGTTGTTAGATTGGTCATTCAAGCAAATTTATCTCTAGGAGTGTGTGCCGTTTATATGCATCACGAATCTGTTGTGGGGTTGCTGAAGCTGTAATATCTAGGATTACGTCTGCGTATTGAAGGTTAGGGTGCTACACGGACGAGAGCCATGAGGACGTACAGTAATCGGTAGCTGCTCCATCAGGCATGCTTTCAGAGTCAGATTTATTTTCGTGTTCAGCTATCACCCTCACATATAGGTATGATTCCACGGCTAATTCACTTGTATGTTGATGCAAGGGGGTCATAAAGTAGACGGAGTTTGGGCGTCCAGCGCGGGTTGTGACAGCCTTGAATCTGTGCCAGTGATGCAATACCAATCAGTTAATCTGACAAGTGGAGGGCAAGACTGAACACCTGTACGCGGTGTCCTCTACGAACCTGGGAGTGAAATGTTCTCTCAGAGCCAAATTTAGTCAAATCTCGCAATATAAAGAAGTTGGCCCACGAGGCAAAATTTCAAATTACTCCTCCACGTCGTTATATCGTTCCCAACGAGTTTGACTCCTATCTTCGTCTCATAAAGTCTACAAGTACATCCTCATCCCAGTGACCACACCACTCTTCGACCTTCTCTGGCCTTAGTTGACCGCCCAATATACGCCCACGCTGATATTTATACCCGACGGAGGAAGCAAAGCGTGGCGCACAAATCTGGGTGATAGTTCTTTGGGATGGACGTGAGAGGAATCAGGACAAGTTGACAAGATAATGCGAAGGAAGTATATAACCTCGAAGGGCGTGAAATTCCGAATTTTGGCAAGGAGTTTTACGAATTGGGCTTTGTGCGCGCCAAGACTTCGCTTGCGAGAGTGCAGTTGACACCATAAAAATAAGCCGACGATGGAAGGTGTTGTGGTCCGCCTCCTGTTGGTGTTCTCCGGTATAGTTTGAGTAGCCTGGGCACCTACTCCACTTGGGAAGGAGACATCTCAGATTACATTTCGCGCGGAGAAAGGTTGATGGACGACGGAGGCATGTCTGCATAACTCAGGGTTTTTGAGACGTTCCCCTGGGTGAGTATTCACGGATGAGGGTTGACTTGGGGTGAAGAAAAAGCCGCCATAACTTCGCAGTGGTACTTGCAAATGAAATCCGAGGCATGAGTGCTCTTCTTGTAAATTGAGTCATCTTTTCTGTACTTTTCTTTGATATTGTGTCATAGCTAGATAGCTGCATACGCAATTAAAATCTGATGCAAAAAAAAATAGAAAACAAGTTCTAGCTCAAGATGGCAAGATTAATATTTTCTCATCTTCACAAGACGACTAATGACGCTGTTAACATATTTTCGTGACCGGATATTATCCTAGCATTTAGAGGGCATGGCACAGGTAGTTGAGATCTTTACCGATTTTTTTACTACCCACATCGTTGGTTTTCAGGAACCAAAACCACAAGACTAAAAACAAATGAAGCCGTCATGTTGGAGGTTTTTTTTTAAATTTGTGAGCGGATACATATTTGAGTATAGTAAGCTCTAGTTATGCAGTCATGTAATATATAAGGACTGGGAGTTATGCAGGCTTCCAAAGTGATCCGTGCACACATACACAAAAGATTAGTGATAATGATAATGATATTTTTATCGTGACCGGGTACTGACCCAGCACCCAGGGGGCATGGCACGGGTAGTCCAGATCTATATAAGTCTCTTCGCTACCTACATGATTGGTTCATAGGAGCCAGAAATACAGAAACAAAACAAATAAAAAGAAAAAAACACCATTTCTGAGGTGCTAGCGCCCTGCACTACAACTCCATCCTCGTGCCACACTGAGCAGCCCTAAGAAGCAATACAGCTGACATTCAAGTTCCCTGTTTATGATTCAATTTTGCTGTAACATTTTGTTACAGTTAGAAAGCGCCAGAATATCTGCTATCCTTCTTGCCCTATCATATCCCTTGTCGTAGGTCGTGGTTCCTTCGTTTCCGTCCTCCATTTCTGGATGGTCGGGCGACACTCTGCAAAATGCCATGGCCGTTTCTCTCGTCCGCATTTGCATCGCATTTCTTCATTCGGATGTTGAAATCGTCTGTGATAGCTAGCGAAATCACCATGCCCAGTCCTTGCCGCAATGAGGCGGTGATATGCCCATCGAGGTAAAGCTAGCTCCGGAGGGCGTTTTCTTCGCATCAGTAAGTCCAGATCTTCATACCTGTCCGATCTATTTTTATACCACCAATTTTCCGCGAGTTTCTGTACTCGTATTGTGACTTGGCGTTTAAGTGCTGCGAATGTCAGGACTTTGTCAGATTCCTCCTGAGTGCACTCTGGTCTCGGGATATTTCCTTCCCTGGTTTTTGATGCAAGGGCTGCCTTTGCAATTGCGTCGGCTTTATCGTTCCCTTCAACACCACTGTGTCCCGGAACCCAGTGGACTTCTACGGCAGGCTGAGCCTTGGATAGTTCAATAAAATTCTGGACCTCAGACTGTGAAGAGCTCGTTCTACCACTCACAAGGGCTCTTACCGCCTCTTGATTGTCGAGGAGTACCTTGATACCTATACTACCTCCAATTTCCGACGCCGCTTCTAGGCCTCGAACTGCCCCGACGATTTCTGCATCAAAGACCTCTGCTCCTGGGAGAAAATTTCCACCACTCGCTATGAGTTCTCTGTCCCTATATATAGCATAGCCATAGGCTGAGTATGCTGGACCAGTCGATGACCCATCAGAATATACACACAGCGTCCCTACAGGGAGATTTCTAAGCCAATGTTTAGTCCGCTTCGACTTTTCCTCCTTGTCGCATTTGGCTCTAGCCATAGCCCTCGCGATCATCGGTTGGTAAAGCTGTCCAGGCCCTTCTGATGCCGGTAGGTTGAGGTTACCATTCTGAAGGCGTGTCAGATATCGCTCTGGAAACTTGAAGACACGATCTTTTTGCCCCTCTCTCAGTTTGAGTCGCTTAATTGCTTCCTTTGGTGTCTCAGCTGCCCTTGACGACAAAGGGTGATAGCTGTTGAGTCTGCGGATTCTGGCTGCATTTCGGAGCTGTCGCTGCTGTAGCATAATTTCTGCCGGTAGTATCCCTGACTCACGGTGCAGAACTATATTTGGTGTAGTTCGCCACACTGGCAGTGCGGCTCGAACAGCAGTCAAAATAGTCCTATCTAGTAATTTGAGGTGCCATCCGACACCCGTACTTACTCTTTTATCTCGTACCGTCGTGATACGGGTGAGTCCAGGCCACCAAGCTTCAGCGCCATAAATTGCCGTACTGACTACACATGCGTTCACTGCACGGATTAATGGTCCCGGAGCCGCACCTCGTTGGACCCTATTAATACTTCGTATAAAGTGAGATAGTCGTTGTGCCTTATTACACCATTCTTGAACATGTTGTCTAAACGTCAGTTGGGAATCGAGCCAGACCCTGAGCCATCGAATGTACGCGGAAGGCGTAATAAGCTGTCCCTCAACCCTGACCGCGAGGTTGGATGAGTCTTGTTTCTTCTTCGGTCCTCCTCCTATAACCAGGAGCTCGGACTTAGAAGGGTCGAACCTTATCATGTGCGTTGAAGCGCGTTGGATTATTGTTATATTAACTAGGCTATATGGGAGCAGGACGATGGATACTCTTGGGGAAGTTATGCTCACAGTAGGTCTCTATAGTCGCTGTCGCGTGTGTTCTCGTGATATGTAAGACTTGACTCTATGTTCTCGTATAAAGGAAACTTAGTTACAAAATGAATGGATGGAGGTTGAGACCTCCTTATATCTTGCTCCAGACTTACTGTGTTGTTCACAGTCTAGTGCTAGAACATTCCCTTATGATATCATTTCTCTCCTACGAGAAATGATCAGCTCGTTCTCTCTCAGTCTATCAGTCTCCCGCTGATTCCATTATCTCTATTCCATCGAGTTCTAGTTTAGTCCAGTATACCCACACATGCATTACACACTAAACACCCCACGGTTTAGTTCCACAGTCACGTGCATATGCTATGACGCGACCTAAAGCATGTATGTAGTGTTGGAATCAGGCATATCACGTGATGTACTGTAACAGTACATAAAAATTAGCTAGTCATAACACAATAAAATCTTCATGCTTCCTCATTACAGGTTATGGCCCTCGTCACTTCCACTGTTAACACAGCGTCCGTGAATTAATCGCACGACATCGATTTCTTGCTTCCCTCTTCACGATAATCTTCGATTATCGCAGCGATTCCCGCACATCATGTCGGACTCATCGTCAAAGCCCTCTACGGAGGCAACCACAGACGCCTACAATCCAGCGTCAAAATGCACAGAGGAGGACATCACTGTTGGCAAAATACAATTTGCCACGGCTCCAGATGTCCAAGATTCAATAAAGTTATCCGCCAAGAAAACTGAATTGTACACGCTTACAGCACATCTAGAAAGCATTGACAAAATGACTCCAATTCCAACCCTGAAGCAATCGAATTGGAATCAATGGCTGAGAGCGATTCGAGATCTAATTTCTTTCACACAAACGTCGGCGGCATTTCTCGAATACCCTCCCCAGACAAAATCAGTTCGTCTGTGGTCAAATTGGTGGGCAGCTAAGCTAAGAGAAACCGCCCCACAAATACACTCTGCTCCCAGTGACTCTCCTAGAATAATTCTAAGTCACATTGTGCGGAATTGCCGCGCCAAGATACACACCAACGTGGTCAAGATTGTCGCACGGTTCTGGGATTACAAGCCAGAAAAGGGATGTTCTATTCAAAGTTTCATAAAAGAATATGAGAAACGATACCAGGATCTCAGGGAACATTCTAACATAACAACAGAGGTAGAATTTCAAATAAGATACGTACTTCTAGATCGAATCTCCAACATCCACCCAGAACTCTCTCACCGCTGTCGCAATTTTTCCTTCGACGAGATTCTTTCAGAATGCCTTGAGTGGGCACCACCGAGTGACCACAAATCACATGCAAAGAAGCCTCAAAATACCTTTAAATGCAACTATTGTGATATTGCTGGCCACAAAGAAGAAGATTGCCGGAAGAAAAAGAAAGCGTATAAGGAACAAAAAGGGGGGATAAGAAAACAAATTCTATCGTTAGATAAATTAGAAGATAAACCTGTATATCAGCTAGATACAGCAGCAGACTTCCACGTGTCTGGTAATAAAGATGATTTCTCCTCCTATATCAATTCCCCACAAACTGTACGCGTAGCTGGAGGGGGGAAAGTAAACATCACCGGCAGTGGTGATATCCTACTCCCCGCTATAGATAACAAAACCGATAGACTTGAAGGTGC